CCAATCGTGTCTGTGGTCTGACCTGCAGGGGCTCATAGTGGGGTCGAGCACCGCCAGCCTCCAAAGAACCACCATCTCGTCGCACATGCTTGCACAGGCGTGAGCGGCTACTTCTGACTGTCCGTTGCTCCGGCCAGTGTGACCACTCGCACTGCTGTGTGACGCTGATGTGCGAACGCTATACCACCAGCTGATGATCTGAATAGACACAGACAAGTGTGTGTGAGAGAATCAGTGTAATATGTACATAATGTTGGGTGCTGTGAAAATTCACATCCTGTCCTTCATGCACAGGATATATGCAGCATATCACATGATGAACTCAGGAACAGCACCTTTTTTTTTTTAAAGTGCCAAATATGAATTTCAGTCTTATGCATTTTAGATAAACCAGGATACAGGCTACCCATGGTGCATCAGCTCCTCCTTTAACAACCCTGTGCACGCATTCAGGCACAGAGATCAGCTGCTATGGTTCTGAGTGATTTTTTCCAGCATTGCCAAACACAGATTTTAGAGGCATTGGGCCTCTTTTGTGTTATTTTTTGTTTCATAATGTGCCAAATGTTTGGCTGGACACAGGACAGCCTACTGCTCCAGCTCTTACTACAGAGTCATACTGTTATACATGAAGAGAATGGGTTTTTTTCCTCATTTCTAAAGCAAGGAAAGGCATCTTTGGATTGCCTTCTCTGGAGCAGTATGTTGCCATCAAGCTATAACCTAATGAAAACATGATATTTACAATTCAGTTGGGTTTTTTGTAGTCTCGTCCTACTTTGAGGGCTAAAATAGGAAAACTGCAAAGGCTTCACAGACATTTCTTTCCTCTTTAACAGCACATTAAAAGTAAGGGTGCCATGTCTAAATCTTTTCTTCTTTGTACTGGGTTACTCTCATCTTTCGGAAGTCATCTCAGAGTAATGACCAACATACCTGTTCGTAGGTGAGGCACTGTTCAGTGAGAATCTCCAGCAGCGGGGCAGCATTGCTGTCTCGCCTCTTAAACATCTCCCTGACAATGGACAGAAGGTTCCAGATGCCTTCTGGCTCTCTACCCCTCAGAGGTCGCAACAGACAGGCCCATTCAGCAGCTGCCGGTGGCTCGGTGGATGACAGGTACATGGAGTTTACATCACTGAGGATAACACAGATAGTACTGGTTCAGGCAAAGTAACGCTGAGGTACATTTACTAAAAAACAAAGTATTAAAAGATTTACTGTAGCACTTTCTCATCAACACTACGTCATATGCATAAGATGAAGGGTAAACATGTGTGACAAGTCCCGCCTACCTGAAAACAACAGGTGAAGGCCCACAGAACTTGTGTAGAGTCTTTTTGATGTTGTCACTGAGGGTTGACTCATCCAGATACCAGGTGCTCTGGTCCGATGCCGAAGGGCCTGCTGTTGGATCTACAAAAATTAATTGTGCAGAAATAATTTAACCTTAAGAAAAAACATCTGCTCTACACAATAAACTACAGAAGGCTTTGCTTTTCCTTTAACAATCAAAAGGCATCAGAGTTCCCCATGCATGTGGAACAGTAGTGATTTTATAGAAACGCTTTCATTTCTCCAAGAATGGTCGAAGGAGCTTGGAAAGAAAAGCGTCTGGACTTCTTTAAGTTTCTTGAAAATGTTTCACCTCTCATCTGAGAAGCTTTTTTCACTTCTAAGACCAATCGGTGGAGAGTCACAGATTTTTAAGCCGTATTGGGAGTGTCCCTAAGAATGTTGTGGACCCTATTTTTCCTCTGCCTAATCA